AGAAAATGAATGTGTATTCTTCATATTGGATGATAATGAAGTTCATTCTTTCTTGAAAAAAGTCTAGAGAATCAGAAAAAAATAATAATAATAAATAAATAAATAATAATAATATTAATTAGATCTCAGAATAAGAATCAAAATATCAAATTTATAGAGTAGATTAATCTTTTTATTGGAGCTCACTTCATGAATGAAGCTCAACCATTAATTTCATATTTTGGATAAATTCTTGATATATTTTTCAGAATTGTAGACACACAGTTTTTTCTTGTCCATATGAGATTTTGCCTGATTTTAATTGGATCCTACTCTGTCTGTGCTAATGAACGGTGGGATTACTCTCCCGAATAATAATAATAATAATAATAATAATAATAATAAAGTAATAATACTAGTCAAAATGGTCCTAATCCAGACCGGGTCCAAATTTGAGCTATAAACCAATTAAAATAGGAACTGCTAAAATTATTATGAGTTGCCTATTTGGATAGGATATATTCGAGAGAAAATAAAAGAAATCCTTCAAATTACTATTTTAAAAATTAAAAAAGAGTAAAATAAGGAGTAGGGAGAAATTTTTTTGAGAAAAATACTAATAAATTCCATATCCCCATCTTATATTCCAATTAGTCATTTTCAAAATCTAATGAACCCAATTAAGATATTTAAACTCAATTCGTGTAACTCTTTAAAAACTCATTTGATAAGGATTCATTATTGAAAGTTCATTAAATTTAAAAATATTTTAAAATTCGTTAAATTTTCAAGTCAAGTTTTAATAACTTAAGATTCGCTCATTTATGTTTCTAGTTTTAAAAACATTTCTTTTGTTTTGAAAGTCTACGAACACATAAATCAATTACAAAATCATATGCAACTCTTTCACATGAAATAAGGTTTAGTTTTTTGTGAGTAATTGTATATAATTTTATGATTAAAATTGTGCAGATAAAAGAAATATATATTTTTTTATTTATTAGTTTTCCTCAATAAAAAAAAAGATCAAAAAGAAAAAGAAAAAAAATAAGTAATCAATCGACTTTTATAAGGATATATAATATCGAATCCAAATTGATCTTTTGATTTTTAAAAAAAATAATTAATGAAATATATTGATAAAAATACAATTTAAAAGACTTTTTTTTCAAAAAAATAAAAATAAATAAAGGAACATTTACACACAATCTTAATTTATGAATGACCTTTGTTGGGAAACAAATTATTTTAATAATTTTTTACATTTTTATAAAAAGATGTGCAGAAAAAAGAGAGAGTAATAACAACTTGAGTGACTTTTTGACTTTTTGCTAAAATAGTTACTCCAAAGAGGCATTATTTCCATTAAGTTGTAACTAAGATTTTTTGGACCTTTAAGTCCCATTAAATTTTTAATAGTCGAATTACCTTCAAACAATGATGGTTGTTCATAATTTATGATTATCTATAAAGGTAACATGATGATTTGACATTTATTTTGATTTTTAAAGTTTAAAATATCAACTTTCAAATTAAAAAATAATATATATAATATTATATATATATGTGAAAAAAAAAAAACATTTTTTTTTGAAAAAAATTGAATTATTTTTGTGTGCAAAATTGAAAATTTGTGTGTTATGAACGATCATGATGATGGAACATTGTTGTGCAAACAGAAAAATAAATTAAAAATAAAAAAATAAATAATATTCTTAAGTTTTAAAACTGGAAAAAATTGTAAATGTTCTCATTTTTATAATAATTGAATTAAACCAATAAGTAGAAGGCAAAAATATTTAATCTCATGCTTATTTTTTTTCAGTTAGTGAAATAATTATTGGAACATTACTATGCCAAATTGTAATGTTTTAAAAAAAACCTTGCTTGTTTCCACTTTTCAAAAGAAAATTTTACTTTCTTATTTTCGTTTTTTTTGTTTTTGTTAATTTTTTTTATTTTAAGAATTTTTTTTACTTTTTAGACACACTTAACATTAAACACTTAAAAAGTAAAAAAATTGTAAAAAAAATCTTTTAAAAATTCACTAAATACCAAAATATAAAAAAAATAATAGAATTCAGTACATTTTTTGTATTTTTATTATTTATTATTTTAATATTTTTTCACAAATTTTTTACTTTTTAAATGCATCTAAGTAAGGTGCATCTAAAAAAGTAAAAAAAAATGTTTAAAATAAAAAATATTCACTAAAAAAAAATAAAAAAACAAGAAACAAAAAAAATCAGTTTTAAAAAATTTAATCTAAAAAACTCAAACCAAACATACTAATATTCTCAATTTTACTAAATAAGACTTATTATTCAAAAATCTTATATAGAACCTGAGTTGTCAAAACATTTATAAATAAACTTTTAAGGAATTAATCATAAATAAATAACTTTTTTTCAATTTTTATCCTTTTACCTCTCTTTCTTCAAAGATCCAGTCATGTCATGACCATACAAAGTCCTTTCTGTTAAATTATTAATATCTTAATAGTTTGACTAATTTTAAAAGTCTTAAATAAAATTATTGTTAAAAATAATTTTATGCACTTTTTTAATATATTCTTAAAAATTAATAATTAATATTTTTTTTTTTGGTCACGGTTTTATAAAATAATTAAAATTTATAATTAGTAACTTTTTTTGTAACGAATTTTTCAAACTGTCATTAAAAGTTGAAAATCAATAACATTTTTTTGTGATGATTTTTTTAAACTGTCGCTAAAATTTATAATTATTGATATTTTTAATAATATTTAATAAAAAAACATCATTAATTATCATAGCACACTATTGAAAATAGTTCCTTTATTGATACCTATGCAAACATCTCCCTAATATATATCTATATATGGTGTTCTGGAAAATTAGTAAAAGTTGACTTTTGACTTTTTTAGTATTTTTTTGACAAAAAAGTTGACTTCTTTGACTAAAAAAGTTAAAAAGTCAAAAAGTTAGTATTTTTAAGCTTCTTCCAAAATACCCCTATATATAAGAACAACTTAGCTACTTGAGGTTCATCTTTTCCTTCTGATTTTTCCCTTTCATTTAAATAATTTACTAGTGATGGCCTATATGTTGAGTGAAAGTTTTTTCGTAATTACACAAATATTCTTAGTCAATTATGTCAACATAATTTTTCCTTTCATTTTGAATAATTTACTAATTGTGGCCTATATGTTGAGTGAAGGTTTTTCGTATTTATGGTAAACATTCTTGGTCAATTATGAAACATAAATATTTTATTTTTTAACAAATTACAAATACACCCATAAAATTTGTTTAAATAAAAATTGGTCCTATAATATTAGAAATTACAATTACGTTTGTTATAAATTTTCTTTAAAACAATACTTAGAGAAAAAAAAAATCAATTCTCCTATGCAATAATAAATTATCAAAATTGTTTATTGAAAATTATTTTTTATATCATTAAAAATTATTAATTGACTTAATGGTTTATTTATTAACAAAATGGTTAATTGAAAAATATTTTTCATATTATTACAAATTGTAATTTATTTAATGATTTACTTATTAATAAAATTGGTCATTTATTACGCGGAAGTTAATATATGATTATTAAAATAATATCTTGTTTGTAATTGAGATAAAAATAAATCAATAGATAAAATATTTATATAAATTATGAAATAAAATATGTAATATACAAACATTTTTGTCAATTATATTAGAACGAATGTTAAACAAATTCTTTTCTCAATTATAGAAATATAAATTTTTTATATATAAAAAAAAATATATATCAATTTAAAAAAATTTTTAATATTAACTAGATAAATTAAAATATACTCATATTATAATTTATCATATACTAGGGAAAAAAATATAATATAAAAAATAAAATTATTTCTCATATCAATTAAAATATTAATTGACTATGATTTATTTATTAACAAAATGATTAATTGAAAATATTTTCATGTCATTACAAATTGTTAATTTACTTAATGATTTACTTATTGATAAAATGATCATTCATTATGTGAGTATAATTTATGTATTAATAAAATTAGTTATTTGTATATATATTTTTTCTTTTACTTCTTTATTAATTCAATAAATTATCTTAGTAGTTTTTTAAATGAAGAAGAATTATCTTAGTATTTATTTTATATTTATTTTGTGTGAAAAGTTACACACCATAATTATTTTTTTATAAATTCGGAAGAAATATTAAAGAATCATAAATTCATTCAAAATAATATAATAATAAAATTGAAGTTTACATCATTAATTGTATAACAAATCTAAAAATGATACACACCATACCATATCATTCTATTATATATGCAAATTTCTTGAAAACAATATTTTAATTTTAAAAAAAATTATCAAAATATAAAATTTAAATATATTATAATAATAATAATCTGTGCCTTCTTAAACTAGTATATATCTATCTATTATATATGTGAGTACATGACTTAGTATCTAATAGTGTGGTGATTTCTCCTTTTGCCATGTGGCAAATTAAATTGTGTGGTGGTGGTTTCTTCTTCTGCCAAGTGATAAATTTTTTTGTCTTAAAATAAAAAAATATTATTTAAAGATGTGAGTGAGATTTGAACCCAAGATTTGGATTTTTATTTATTAAAAACACTCTTATCATTTAAACAACATACATTTATAATATTAATTTCTTTATTATTTGTTTTTATGCTTATTTATCTAAATTGCACACACATTGTGTGTCACCCACTAATATAGCTATAAAAATATGAGCACATGATTGTGTTTGATAGTGTAGTGATTTCTCCTTCTGCCATATAACAAATTTTTTTTATCCTAAAATAAAAAATATTATTCAAACAAGTAGGCAAAATTTAAACCCAAAATCGTAAATTTCATTAAGAATACTTTTATTTTTTAGACAATATACATATTATAATGTTAACTTCTTTATTATTTATTTTTATATTACTTATCTCAGTTACGCACACATTTCGTATGTCATCCACTAATATATATATATATATATATATGTATATATATGTACGTCCATAAACACGTTAGATTTCTCATGAAACTCGCGAGGCCCTTTTTTCGTCTCTTCAACACCTTCTCAGTGACTCCTCAAACACAGCGAGTCTCCAATAATTCACTCTCCAATGACTCCGTTAAAGAGCTCCACGCACACCTCATCAGAACACAACTCCACACCGACCCATCTTCAATCTCATACGTTATTCGATCATACGCTCTGTCTCCAGCCACTCTGCCCAAAGCCCATCTCGCTTTCGACCAAATCAAACGACCCACTTTGTCAATTTGGAACCATATGATCCGTGGATTGTCACAGAGTGATCGACCTATTGAATCAATTACCATGTATGATCGAATGCGAGACCAAGGATTTTCCGGAAACAATCTTACCTTCATTTTCGTTCTCAAGGCTTGCACTCGAGTTTCAGATGTTGTATGTGGACAGAAGGTTCATGTTTGTTCCATGAAACTTGGATTTGAATCGTATATTTTTGTTTGTAATGCTTTGATTCATATGTATGCTTCGTGTGGCGATTTGGATTTTGCACGGAAGATGTTTGATGAAATGGGTGACAGAGATTTAGTCTCTTGGAACTCGTTGATTTGTGGGTATAGTCAGTCTAACAGATTTCAGGAGGTATTGGGTCTGTTTGATGCAATGCGGGCTGCAAATGTGAAGGCAGATGCTGTGACAATGGTGAAAGTTATCTTAGCTTGTAGCCATTTAGGAAATAGGGAAAAACTAGATTTTATGGTGAAGTATATTGCTGATGATCATGTTGAGATTGATGTTTACTTGGGAAACACTTTGATAGATATGTATGGACGGGTTGGTTCGGTGGGATTGGCACGTGAAGTTTTTGATCAGATGGCAGAGAAAAATTTAGTTTCGTGGAATGCCATGATCATGGCGTATGGAAAATCAGGGGATTTAGTTGCAGCGAGGAACCTTTTTGATGACATGCCAAAAAGGGATGTGATTTCTTGGACTTCAATGATCACTGGTTATTCTCAAGCTAACCAGTATTCTGATGCTGTGAGGCTCTTTGAAGAAATGATGGCAGCTAAGGTTAAACCAGATGAAATTACAGTTGCTACTGTGGTTTCAGCTTGTGCCCATTTAGGCACATTGGATATGGGTAAAACGATCCATGACTATATTCACAAGCATAATATAAAAGCGGATGTTTATGTTGGGAACTCACTGATCGATATGTACTGCAAATGTGGATTGGTTGAGAAAGCATTAGAAGTGTTTCGAGATATGAAAGAGAAGGACTCTGTGTCATGGACTTCAGTCATCTCAGGGCTTGCTGTGAATGGAAACACTGATTGTGTACTTGAACTCTTTTCACGAATGTTGAGTGAAGGTATTCGACCCACTCATGGAACTTTTGTTGGGTTATTACTTAGTTGCACTCATGCTGGTTTGGTAGATAAAGGATTGGAATTTTTTAGAAGTATGGAAAAAGATCATGAGTTGGTGCCAGAAATGAAGCATTATGGATGTGTGGTTGATCTTCTGAGCCGGTCTGGCAATCTAGATCAGGCATATGAGTTTATTAAGCAAATGCCTACGGTTCCAGATGTTGTAGTATGGAGGATTTTGTTGAGTGCTTGTAAGCTTCATGGGAATGTGGGTCTAGCCGAGATTGCCAAGAACAAGCTTCTCGAATTGGATCCTGGTAACAGTGGGAATTATGTTCTCTCAGCAAACGCATATGCTGGAGTGGATAGATGGGAAGATGCTTTGAAAATGAGAGAATTAATGGAGCAGGGTGATGTGAAGAAACCATCTGGTTGGAGTTCCATAGAACTAAATGTTGTAACATCAGTTAATTCTCACGAACAGTCTCTTCCCCAATTTCATAACAGAAATGAATCGACTACAGTGCCCACATCTTAGGATTTCTGGTACGAGGATGATTATAGTAAATTTGAACAGATAGATTACAACTGATAACTGATAGATTACATCTCTCATGTTGATCATCATCTTTGTCATCAATTTTATTGTTTATTCTAAATTTTTTAACTTACAACATCTGCATATATCATTTTTTTTTCTCCTGAACACTCACAGATTGAACATGACCTTGATGGCATTACCACCACGAGCACTTGTTTCGAAAGCTTCCTCAACCTGCTCTTGAATAAACTCAAACCTGTGCGTTATGAGGGGCTTGACATCAATCTTTCCAGATCTCAGGAACTCGATGCAAAGCGGCCAAGTGTTCCTATATCGGAATATGCCAATTACATCGATCTCCCTACACACAAAATTGAATCACAATTGGAAACTATATTGCAAACAGAGCATCAAGACAAACAGTATAGTGAAGAAGTACCTTCCAGCGGTTGGTGTAAGAGGGAGTGTCATCTCACTCTGGCCCATTCCCACAAGGCAAACTTTACCTCCAGCACGAGTCGCATTCAAAGCAACTGACATGGTTTTGCTAAAGCCAACACAATCAAAGCTCACATCCACATTGGCTCCCACAGCATTTTGTATCTTTACTACTTCCTCACCCACATCCTGTAAATGGAAAAAAAACAAAACAAAACAAAAAACCATGGATGTTTTGATTTTTTGTACCTTGTACATTTTGATTTCTTTTGTTTAAAGAAATCGAAAGAATGTAAGTTGAACCTGAATGTTTGTTGAAACTTGAATGACCTCATCTGCACCAACATGTTTGGCAAATGATAACCGTTGATCATCTATGTCGACGATGACAATCTTTGGAGCTCCAAAAGCTCGAGCTGCAAGCATTGTTACAAGGCCTATGGGTCCTGCTCCCATGATCAAAATTTTTGTCTGTGGGCTCACTTGAGCACGGTGACAAGCATGGACGCCTACACTCAGGGGTTCGCACATTGCCCCTTCTTCCAAGCTCACGTTGTCCGGTAGCTTAAAACATAGATTTGCAGGATGCACCACCTGGTTTGAGAAGAAACATATTTCATACCTACTATTGTGGTATCGTATTTATCTGTATCATATTTGGTATTATCTTTGAAAAATCCAGAATGCTTAGCCTCTTGTCAGCTCAATGAGTTAAAAACTAAATATCTCTGCTTGTGTAAATGGCTAATGCTTTTCGGAGATATACCCATTGTTCTTTAGTTTGAACTTAGCAACATCCTTAACCAAGCCTCAACAATCAAGAAAAATGGTTGTATATACAGCTTTCTAGTGGTTGTACTTTCTGCCACTACTGTATTACAAAGAAAAGACAAGCAGTGTTTTGTTACCAGATTGGCTAGAGCACCATTAGTTGGAGGAGAGCCAAAAAACTTCATTTGGCGGCACAAATTGTAACGACCACCCTTGCAAAACTGACACTGCCTGCAACTGATACCGGGTTCTAGGGCTACACGATCACCTGCCTGCAGAGACTTCACTTCACTGCCAACTTCTTCTATAATACCGGCACACTCGTGCCCGATTACCATAGGCTTCTTCACAATAAAATTTCCACATCTCATGTGCTGGAAATATGGATGGGGTACAAAGATATCACTAATCAGTTGTTTTTAAGTTAAAGATATCAAGAAATCAAAAATTTTAAATATGATACAGCTGAAGACTATATGCATATCACCTTGAAGTGATGAACATCACTCCCACATATGCCAACAGCTTTCATTCTGACTTTAACATCGTGGGGACCTAAAAATATTCTGCTTGATTAATCCTAGCAAATGTAGCATTTTATCTATGTTTCATAGAGTATTTCCAATGCTTAATCTTTTTTCAATCAAATTTGAGTAAAGATTTAGGTTAAAAGCTTCATCTGAAACAAAACATTCTAACGCTAAATTTTAATTTTCATCAAATAACTGGTCAATCGGGAGGACGTCAGGACGTCTAGCCTAGTGTAAATTTGCTTCAAATTTTCCCCTATCAGGTTGTGTCCGGCTAGTTGTCCACCTGGTTGACCGGCCGGTCATCCATCCGGTCGTCTACCAACGGTCACTTGTTAGATTTGATAAAAGGTTAAATGCACTCTTAATTTGATGAAAAAAATATTTAATACAAATTTGATAAAACGGTTAAAACACCATTTTCACCAAATTTTCGTCACATTTACTTGTAACTTTAAGCATCATATAAACAAATATCTTATAACCCATTGGTATAAAGAGAGTCTCTCCGTCTCTCCTTCGAACTTTTTCTCTAAGAGAGAATGAAACTTCTTGTCACGTTCTCAATTATCCAAACAAGTGATGAAAGTTTTGTTTTTTTTTTTTTCCTTAACAAACGCCTCAATCTAAATGGATTATAACTTTGAGGTACGAGATCTTCTATTCCCTAACTTTTCTGCCCCTTACCCAAATTCAAAAATATTTACAATCATCAAATTAAATTTCAAGATTCTTATGTAATTTAACGATTGTCAGCATTTTGAATAAAGAGAGAGAAAAAAAAAATACCCATAATTAACATAAAAATTGAAAGCAAAATTTTTAGGGCCTACCCTTTTTTAGGCAATTGTTAGATATCTGCAAAACACTATGCAGATTTGGCTTCTCTAAAGGTCTCTTATAAGCATTCAATTTTGTAGAATGAACAATCAGTACAATGAAAGCTTTTATTGACTATCAAATTTGGTAGCGATTAAGTGCACAAATTTAGTAAAAGAAGCAAAGAGAGCATTAAATGAAAATAGAGTACCAATGGGAGGGAGATTGTAAGGTTGAATTTTAAGAGTTTTGAGACCAAGAAGCCAAGCTGCCTTGTTCTCTTCTTCTTCTTCCTCTCCACCACCGTGTGACATCCCTCCTTTTCCCATGCCCCTCTCTCTCTCTCTCTCTCTCTCTGTGTGTGATGGGGCTTTGATCACCAATGAATTTCTATGAGTACAAATTTTAAAGATTGTCGTAAATGTTTTTTCTACCATTTGTTATCCATTTACCAATCCCTATCTAGTGAGTAGGCTTTGGTCAGTGTATTCCAAATCCATCAACATCACCTTTTGTAGCATTAGGACAAACATGTTGTACAACAGAAAAAAGATTCATCCACTTAATTTGAGGTTGTAAGATTATTTAAAATATATAAGTCAAACGTCCAGTTAGTTAATCGGTTAAATCACCGCGCCAGTTGGCCCGTGTCATCCTTATCAACTTCCGTAGTTACTCTTATCAATTGTAACTGTCACTCTTATCTATTAGTATGTCGACCAGTATCTTATTGATTGATCATCAGGACAACTGTCCGAATGACCTATCGGACGATCGATATATATAAATTCAGACAATTCAAATCGTACAAATTCGATAGATGTAAGAATACTATATCCTATAAGGCAGTGGCTTCCCTGCAGTCCATGATTGGACTAGAGGGTGATGTTGGGCCTGTAGGGGCTCACGATGGGTCCCTTTTAGATAATTCGAACCGTTTAGTGTGTAAAACTCGTCGAGTACTATATGTGTGTAATCAATCACGTCGATTCGATATTGATAGCTATGTGATCAAATCAATTTTCTGTCAACCATTTATATTTTCACTGTTAATTTTTTTAATACAAAACTGATTTGATTACTTAGCTATCGATATCTGATCAACGTGATATTTTATAAACATATAGTACTTGACGAATTCTACATATTAAATGGTTCGGATTATCAAAACTGGACTCGTGATGGACTCTTACGAGTCCAACAGTATCTTCTAATTTGATCATGAATTGGAGGGAAACCCAACCCATCCTATAATATAGTGCATAGTAGATTTATAGACAAGAAAATCATAAAAAAATAGGAAATATATAAATCAAACACAATGAATGAGATTTTCACAAAGTTATGGATCCCACTAAAGTGGTGATAAAATTCATGAGCAAGAAAATTATTTAAAAAAAATAAACTATCACTTACAAACACTAATATAGAATAGAACACATATACATACTGTACGAGTAAGAAATATTCTTCTCGTATAATCCTGTTGATCAAGTCTGCGCTCCTCCATACATCGTCGCTTTACTCCCTGAAAACACAAACGTGAGCTAACCGGCAGGTGTGTACCGGATACCTCTCTAATGCCTAAGTCAGCAAGATAGACAAGTACACAAAAGCTCTGTGTATTCGGGAATCAAAGTTGTGTTACCTATCCATAGGTGATGTTATGAGCTTTTATAGGTTCCGTGTGGCACAATCCTAGTAGGACTCTTACTCTTCCATGTAGAGTCCTCCTAGGAATCACATTCCTGAAAGATAATGCTTATCCTTCAACACCCCCCTCACTACTTAAACCAAGTGAGATGGTTTTATCATGGTTGGATGTTACGATCGAGATAACATGGCCACGCTAAAGCCGCAAACTAGACCGAGCTTCAACTAGCTCGGTTCTTCCTTGTCACACCCCCAACTCGCCCCTAAAAGTTCGGGCATGACCTATGCAGAAACAGACACTTCACTTGATCTACATATCATATGGGGCCTAAACGGAAGTATTTAATATTATAAAGTAACACAGAATAACATCCATTGAGCTAAAACTAACATGCAAGGATCACATACTTGAGCGCATAACCAAACATTGGTAAAGAAAGGGGTCCTATACACACATTTTAACCTTAGGTAGATAATTAAAGTGCAAGTCAAAATCTTAACAAAACTTTACATAAATACATGGACTTAGTCTGGGTGCTTGGGCATACTGAGGTTGAAAACTGAAGGGTGAGCATCAAGGGTTAAGACGGACTTCCAAAGTGCTTACCTACAGAACAGACATAATACAAAGTGAGCGAAGCTCAGTGAATAATAGTACAGAAACGATTCAATACTCAACTTGAATTATAATACATATCATTGCACATATAAATGAAAAGGGCATAAGGTTAATTGATTCTGTATTAATGTCAGAACGGCCTTAGGCCTAGTCTTTAAACATAATGACTTGAAACATAATGGCCTTAAGCCCCTTGAACATAGTGGCATCAAGCCCTTGAACATAATGGTATCAAGCCCTTGAACAATTTGGCATTAAGCCCTTGAACATACTTGTATGAATTCAAGAGGTGTCTCACGCGGATTCTAGAGGTGACTCACATCGTAACAGTTAGTTCCGCGTAGCACCTTGTTTCATATCATAACAACTTATACGGAATGGCCATAGGCCTCATAACTTTCACATATGTATGGACTCAAGAGGTGGCTCGTACGAATTCTAGAGGTGGCTCGCCTTGCAGCACTTAGTTTCGTACAACACTTTGTTCCATATTAGAAATACAGAATGGCCTCTGGCCTAATAAATCATACAGAATGGCCATAGGCCCAGATTGGCTTTAAGCCTAGTTCATATATGTATGGACTCAAGAGGTGTCTCACGCGGATTCTAGAGGTGGCTCACAATGTAGCACTTAGTTTCGAGTAGCACTTTGTTCCATTCCCTTAATCAATAGGTCTTACAAACCCAACCATTCATGTCATGTCATACCATAAGCGGAAACAAATGTATATATATTCTTTGTGCTTGAATCATAAACAAAATCAGAGTTCATACTTGATTATACATGGTACTTCCAATAGCGCTAACAAATCAATATAGAGCATTCTTGTTAGTTCCTTAAAAGGATCTTCGGTACTAGGAACTTGTGCTAAGGATGCCTTGAATACTTTTATATAGATGCATAATCATTCATTGATTCAAAACATAACATATCAGGAAACAAAGCATTTCTTGTCATATCATGTCATTATCGTACACTTAACAAAGATAGAATAATTCACATTCTCATGTGGGTCACATAATAATGTTAAACTTTTGCATTTATGTCGTAGATTCTAGATAACTTTAAGTTCATATGTAACGCAACAAAATAACTTTAGCTTCATTTGGATACACATAGCTTTCCAATTATTCTGATTCTTCGAAGTTGTCCACACTTGATAACCTATAACTAAATGGCCTGTGGCCTATGAATAGCAAAATAGTATGCTCTCATATTTACACGGATTCCGTTCTTCAAAAATGGACATAAATTCTCTTTATTCATTAAGAAATGATGTAGTTAACTTGCATCTTTGACCTGTAATTAACAGAGTGCTAATTGTAACCGTTGCATTATTCACATGAGTTAACATAGTTAACTTAAGTTTAACTGAATGTTTCTGATAATTATTAACGAAAGGTAAGCATATTTTATAGATTGTATGAGTCTAGAGATACGTGGATACCATAGTTCCATAATGCTCATATGTTCCATTTGTTTGTCATGAACCACTGTCGTTATCTTGCAATAACAGAATGTTAGTATTCTTGTCAACAGTAAACATGATGTACTGCTCAATAATGCCTCTAGATTTTCCAATCAACATATTGTTAACATAATTACTTGCAAGGAACAGATTGTTAACTATGAGAATCATTAACGATAATTGAATGTACGGCTACAATACTACTACTCACAGTGCTATAGCGGAGTGCTTGACCCTTCCGAGGTATGACCTTAAGTTAGAATCTTTAGAAACCCCTTTTTAATTTCTCAATCTTTCTCCTTGAAGAACCCTTCACAAACCTTCTTCCTCTCTAATTCTTTCTCTCTCTCAGGAAGTATTTTTAGGAGACTCTAAGTCAAATGGTCAAAGAGGCATACATATATATTTATAAGGTAGAATAAGACAAAATTCTATCAGTTTAATGATTCCAAATTGAAATTTCACAAAAATGCTTTTCATGGCTTAAAAATCATGCTGATCTCAAATGTAAATTCAATTTCAAATTATCAAGCCTCTAAGGCTCTCAATTTTTGATCTGAACATCTCAGTTATAACAGATTTTTCTCTTGTTAATTAAACTTAATTTCACATGGCATTTCACAATAAGCATATAAATGAACAGAATAAGGGACTAAAAGTATACCGGAATCATAGACGAGGGTCGGGTTATTACACTCCTTTCACTATGTACCTCGATTGACATATTCCAACTGGGTTGTCTGAAACCGTGCTATCCACAATGAGCTTAGATCGAGCTATCTAATAGCAAGGTCCTAAGTAGAAGCCAACAATACCTCGGCTCAAGATGGTTTGACCGAGCTAACTGCCACCGTGCCGACCATGGTGACTGAGCTAACTACAAGGTTCTCTGGGACCGGGCTAACTACAAGGCTCTCTGGGACCGGGCTAACTATCAGGCCCTTTTACTCAGTCCTTCTCACTGTAGCCCATAGAACGGCCCATCACCTAGCTCAGCCCAATTTCTACATAAATTACCCTCTCAATTGCCCCTTAATTCCATCTGCGCAGCATGATAAGGATTACCTGTCACCAGCTGAGCTAAAAGCTTTAGCTTGTCAACCGAGCTAAAAAACCTTAACCTTCCAACCGAGCTAGAAACTTCAGCCTTCCAACCAAGCTAAACTCACACCGGGCTACTTTAATACGCCCGGTCAAAAAACGTCTCTTCAATCTTTGTAACTGAACCGCTTCTTATTCCAAGGACACGTGGCACACCCTTATTGGCCCAGTGTGGCTGTCACGCCGCCCTCATACCTCGCGATATTTGAACAGTCCCGCCCAAAACTTGAGCTTTTCACCAAAACCCTACTTTTGAATCATTTACTCGTACTATTCACCTTCTTCTCTCTCTCTGAGTCTCCATACCTGCTTGACCCTGCATTTTGCTGAGTTCGTGTTTTCTGCTACCATTACTTTCATCTTTAGTACCCTCGCCTTGCACTGGTATGTTTGCTCAAACTGATTTCCTTTTTGTTGATTTCACACTTGTTTGCAACACATAATATGCGTATTTGTATGTTTTTTTGCAAAACAAATATTCCATCTTTGCTTCTATTTTTCTGGGAAAAATCCATGTAGTAGAACCTCGAATAATCTGAGAAACACTAATTTTGATCCA